ATGCATATAGAGTTACACAAAAACGTACTGATTAAACTAAATGAAAGACTATTTTTTTAATGTTCTCAATCATCAATTTTTCAAGTACAATGATTTATGAATTGTTAAAAAAAAATTTTCACCTTATTATACCCAAATCGATCATTTCAACTTCCTGAAACAACGAAAAACGATCGCCGTTTTTTACCGGAGCGTAAACGGCATCGTTTAGATTTGTTTGAGTCAAAAACTGATGCAGATTATTAAGACCGTATTTACACTGGCTTTTGTCGTATACGACTTACTTCCATTACACGAATTGCACTCTCAGTGACATCCTGCTTATATTTTGTATTATTATACGAAGGATTTCATTGTATAAATATCATTCCTATATTCGAATTCATCATTATAACCTATTTTCAGAGTACATATATGCAAAAGGTGCACGCACAGATCCAATAATCATACTCATTGTTTGTGAAAGTACTTTTAAATATTTTTTTAGATAAAGTAGTTCACTAATAAAAAAAAGGAACTATAATTTCAAGAATGTATTTTTTGAACAACTAACTCTCTATGGTCGTTATTAAACGTTTATGAACTGTTATTGCACTACTACGGCAGCAACATCATTAGAACTTGGATAAACATCCTACTAAGCATCTAGAACACAAATAAATAGATTCAATGATTTATGGAACTTACCCACAAGGTTTAAAAATGAAGTTTAAAAATATGACTTCATTTTTAGACCTTGTTGCCATCTTTTCCTAAGGTTATCGAAAAAGTGGATTCTCTTAAAAAACACTAAAACACCCGATTACAAGCATACGTAACTTTTTTCTCTATCACTTGATGGTTCGAAAACTGTGTGAGAATCAATTTTAGCTCTTATTATAAAAATAGGAGGTAGGTTTACAAGCTGGATGAGTTAGTCTGGTCGACAGTGAATGTTGATAAACTAGCCAAATCACACTACAACGATCAAATTTCGTCAAAGTCATGTAGCTGCTACAATTTTTTTATGCTGAATTCAAATAAAGTAGTTTCAGCGAAGAATAATCCGTAATCTTCATGAAAAATTGCTATTTTTTGGTCTTTATTGAAGAACTAAGTTTTCCTTGAATTTTCGGTTTGACATAGGATTTAAAAAACTAAAAATTATATATTATTAACCAGCTTCGAAAGTTTCATCGATTGATATATAGTTCGGCGAATTTTAATTTGTACTCGATTTTTGCGCTAGCGGTACCTTCCTTATACGCAATAACTGAATATTAATATCATATCAATCATCATGTGACAAGACACAGACGTTTTTCTAGAGAGTACATCATATCGTTGAATAGATCTCAACAAAAAGTTAATTGGAATCTGATATTAACAGAAGAAAAAAACAAAGTAAAATGCAGTTTCACCTCAGCAAAACACTTCCATGAAATACTCGACATTGATCGAACTCGATATATAAAATCATTAAGACTTATCTACTAATCATCATGAGAAAATATTTAATGATATTTATAAGATGATTTCATGCGAAAACAACTCGAAAATCGATGGTTGAAAAAACGTAGACGATAAGCAGAATGAAAGTCATTTTTCACTGTTTTCGAATCGTTCTATTCGGTCTGGATATATAAAATATTTCTAACATATAGATAAAGAAACTACTCGTATAAAATGTCCTTAATCTTTTACACAGAGAGCAACAAGTTTATTATTCGATCTATTTCTAACATGCAATTTGTCCTACCTATTTCATTTTCTAATGAGATTTATTACTCTTTTTTTTTCTTGTTTCTTACTTCGTATAGTCAAAAGAATTTTCTAATAATGTGTTTTTTCAATTTCTACTTCGGTGATTCTACTATCGTGCCTTCTTTTATTCTCGGACATGCCTACATATCCGTACGCGCAGATGTTATAATTAAATTTTTCTAGAATACATATTTTTCTTTTGAATGATATTTTCTACTCCTTATGTGAAGAGTGCTTATAAAAAATATATTTATTCTAAAAATAAATTTTTCTTTCTTATTGAACATATTTCACAAAACAATGTAAAGAAAGAGATATTATTAAATTTGAAAGAAAATACGTCATACAAACTGTGATAGTTAGAACCTTGATGACATTCATCGAACTTTGATGAGCTTCTTTTGTTAATAAGAAATTTTTTCATCGTATTTTTAAGGATTCATATAGTTATCGATGAAGTATTTAGCTATTTTAGGACTATTCTAGTGACGTGTAACTGTCTAATTGTCAGGGAAAGAATGACAAATAGATTTTACTTATGATTATTACTTATTAATCCTTTTTTGAAAGATTATGTTAAAATAATTTCAAATTTATTAGTAAATACAAAAGACAATATTAAGAATAAATTTGAATAATAAAATTTCATATTAAATAATACCATAAATATTCTTTTATATTTGTTAGAGATGCTACATTTTTTATGTCATCTTCTGAATAATTCATTTCTATTTTAAAAAAAAAAAGACATTGTTTTCAATAGATCATTTCATTCTCATTTTTATGAACATAATAGAAAGCCTTTAAAATACTAAATTATTTATTTATTTAAATTAATATCTTCTATAATACAACAATTTTTTCAAGAGTGATAAAAAAAAAAATTGTGACAAAATGAAGGCGTAATACCGAAATGAGTACTCGATCAAATTAAAAGCAATACACGAATTAAACTATTATTAAAATAATCAAAGGTTTTCATGTGTTTTCGTACTATATAAAATAAACATGATATGAAATTTATGTAATATTAAATGAACTAACATAAATAAACACTTCATATTATCAAAAGTTGCATAGATTTTGATGATTAATCACGATATTTCAAGAACAACAACAACATAAAAATTATTCGTATAGTTTTTATTTCGGAAAGCAAGAAAAACTAAATTTTGATTTCAAAAAAATATTTTTACTATTTTCACAGCATGATATCTGATAGAAATTTTAGACTGAATATTTACTATCCGATTATTTTCAACTAATAAACAAAACAAACATGACCATTTTATTTTTTATTTTTTTCTACGTCTTGTATAATCCGTCTTATTTTATTAGAGAAACTATTTTAATCCATAATAAATTTAACAGTAAATATGTCATTTTAAAAAATAAATAACATTCTTTTATATTTAGATGAAATCCAGACATCAGTTTCGTCAGTAAATATGATTTTACAATATACATTATATTTACGGGAAGGAAAAAATAGATATTCAACTATTGTTTTCGCGACACCCACATCGAGAGACATGCTTGAGTGTTTCCGTGTCATTTAGCTATTGAATAGTTGAATCTAACTTTCAGTTTTGGCACGTATGCGTTTCTGAGAAGCTCATGAGAATACACCAATAAATGACGTTCTATTCGAAAGTCTGAAATAGGCATAATTTTCGTACTAAATTCCTAAACGATTCCTATCTTGAGTCTTCGGAAAGTTTTTAAGAGACTCCTTGGCGATTCTTTTATTTAAAAAAAAATTGAATAGAGTTATTCATGATTTTAAAAAAGTTGTAGATCAATCGTAGGTTTTTATGAAAATCGGAGAAAAATCGCTATAGATGCTTATAGTAATACATTGAAGAGATCGATGAATATAAACTAAAATCATTCGTAAAGGAATATGAATATTCATCATAAGAAGACAAAAATATAGCTGAATATTTTTATAATAGAACTTTTCCATTTTAGGATTTCGATCAATTAATAGACAAAACCAAAATAACCAACGAAGAGAATAAATATAAGTTAATTTAATTACATTTCGACAACTATGAATTCTTCTCGAGTGTATGAATATTTTTGAATGAACTATAATAAATATAGATTCCATATAAACATTAAAAAAAACTCTGTAGTTCATGTCCATAAAATGAATTGTATTTAATATAGTTAAGAAAAACAAATAAAAGTTCTACTAAACTTTTTTGAAATTCATTTTGTCATCAAAAACAAAAAAAACAAACACACGTAATGAAAATTGGGTTTAAAAGATAAATACAAAGCTGACAAGCATTAGTGCCATCAATGATAATTTAAATTTCATCACTTGAAATAACGGTCAGCCACTTTTAGTAGTAATCCATCAATCCAAATATAAATTTAACAAAAAAAGACGAACTAATGATCTACTTTACTAGTGGTTCGGTACAACCAGAAAAAGACTTTGGAATTTGAGATTAAATTCTTAGTATTTGGATTTAGTCTTGGACAAAAATAATATAAATATGTTGTGTTTCGATAACTGTCATCAAATTTCAAAATATTTATGTAGATTTCGTTCAAAAGCAAATTTAAACCTAACCTTCAAATACAAAGATGTCAAATGATCAATACAAAAAAGTGTAAAATGATCAATTTATAACTTTTAGAAATAATCAATATTAGTGTTTGTCAGCCTATCGAGATATATAATGGATATGTACAACAAACTTATTTGTAAGTTAAATCAATAGTTAGAATAATAATAATAATAATGTTAAATTAAGAAAAATGGAATACGAAAACGATACCATGCATGTATAAATAAGATGAATAGTTGCTCTGATCATCGATTATAGTATATAACAAAACATTTGAATAAAACAAATATATAATCTATTGGATCAGTATTTCGTTAATTCAAAACATAAAAAATAAACCTAAATGCATCAATATGAATGTTATCTTCTTCTTTTGTTTTTGTCTTTACATTTCTAAAAGACAATGTATTGTTCACTAAAAGTTTTAATCTATAAAAAATCTTCCAAAAGTCGATCTATCAAAACATAATCGAACGAATGATCGTGTCCGTGGGTATCACTGCACCACCGCACAGTTCCCCCCTAGTCATACTACATACCATTGCTTAAACAATAATTAAATCGTTCTACTTGTAACACTATGTATTTATTAAAATGAATATACAATTGAATAAAATATAGATTTTTTTTTCTTTTACAATAAACATAAATTTTTAGTTTATAATTCTTTTTTACTCATGCTGGACGAAGTCTACATATAAAAGTAATTAGTTTTTTAGTCACACGAATGAATTTTTCACGAAAAAGTGGTGATGCCAAACAATATAAATAAAATCCAATACCAAAATAAATACTTGACCAAATTAAAAGTATTGCACGAACCAATAAATGAGTATACATATCTAATGTTTCATAATTAGCTCGTATGAGTGAATAAATATTAAATGGAATTTGTGTTACAACAAATGTACCAACACTAATTAACATCATATAAAATAACATTCGATCAATTGGTGTCATTCGTCCATTTGTTATTATACTAGTACTTACTGCAGGAATATTTGTATTATCGATTTGATTTCTTGGATCAACACGTCGACGAGATTGTCGTATATTAAATAACATACGAATATTTGCTAAACTCATAATAATAACTGGAATAATACAAACAATAATTAATCGAACTGGTAAATAAATATTACTAATAAAATCACTAAATATTGGTGATTGACCACTATAACATGTGTTCGTTATAGGATTTAATGTAATCATTGGACAAAACCAAAATGAATAAAGAATAGAAAAAATAATTAAATAAACTACAGTTAATTTAAGAGCATTTTGACGTGTACAAATTATTCTTGAACGCATTGGTAATTCTGAACGAATTAATCGATCTAACGTAATAGTAACAGCTAAATAAGTACTCATTGTTCGACTAAGATTTTGTATAAAATAATTTAATCGACATCGTAAAACTACACCTGAATAAACATAAATATTAAATACAGCAAGAAATTCTGTTATTAATGTCCATAAATGAATATTATTTGATAAAGTCATAAGAATAAATAATACACCAGTTGAAACATGTCGAAATTCTTCTTGTGAAAAGAATATAATTAATGATAGTATATTACCAATAAAACCCAAACCATAACTAAATACAATAATAAAATATGAATAAAACAAAATATAATATTAATTTACGTTATGCATGCTGCTATTATTTCAAACCAAACTAGGAATGACATCGAGAAATCAATTCTTACACAAAGAAGTATGTAATAATGAGTTATCTAGATCGTTTTCTATATGAACTAATACACATTGTGTCAATCTTCTTCATTGTCTCAGCCTACTATATTATTAATAAAACTGTCTGTTATTATCAATTATGATAAAGAATGTCATCATAATGATCAAATTACGTCTTAATTATTAATTTTACTACAAATAGAAAACGTTAAAGATTCTTGAAAAACATCATGAAATCCAATTAATTTTAATTACAGAGAAACTTAGCTACATACTATTATATGTAATAAAAATCACAATATATTTATGTTAAGATAGAACGAAAATAGATTTTACGTGTCTTAAAATGTCTTAAATATTCTATTTCTTATTTTGTTTTTATTCAAATAAAAAGCGAACAATTAGTGCTGGTGTTACTTAAGTTAAAAAAATTCTTTGTATTTTCGATATGCCAATGGTTATAACTTGTTAGAGTATAACATACGAATATTATATGCAATGATAATAACAATCTGAATGATATAAATTACAACATCTTAAGCAAGTATTGCATTTTAATGTAAAATATTTAAAATCACGGGACATTTAAAAAATAAATCGAAGCGGAAAGTATGTTTAGATTTCCCAAAAAGGAAATTGTGGAAATTTCCGAAAGTACAAGTTATGAAAATTTTGGAAATTTCAGAAATTACCAAATTTTTTGAGACAACGGAGCTTTTAGAGGTATTACTTCTAAAATTTCAGTAATTTCCTTTTTTGGAAGTCTGAACACTGCTGAATCAATGTTAATTAAATATGATGGCAAATGAATTTGTCTTGTTAATATCATAAATAAATCTTTTCTGCTTATGAATAAAACTGATAGAACAAATTTGGAAAATGATTTTTGTTAAATACTTATTATAGTTAGCTAATAAGTTTATTTCATATTGAAGAGAATTGAAAAATCTAGTTAATAATTATACACAATGTTTTCAGTGTCAACTTGAATGCATAAGTGATATATCAATAGAGAAACAGGATATGTTTTGACTTATAGAGTAAATTATTCTTTCAGATTTCTATTTATAAAATCTCATCTTCATAACCGATATAGATTAATCATAGAATGAAGGAAGAAAAAAGTTTATTCTATTTGAGATTAATTAACAGTTCAACAGATTTAACAGATGAGAAGCTACTTGACTTCTATAAGTTCGAAGGAATCTTGTATTGATGTCCTTGTAAAAAAAAACAAGTCTATTGATAATATTATATCAAAACTGAATGAATATTTACTTTTCTAAATGAATAAGTTAAATGCAATGTATATCTATCAATATTCGAAACGAAATTCAATAAATTCACAAAATTGTAACATGAATAAAAATCAAAATTTATATTTCAATTTCTTTTAAATAAAGAGTTCTATATTTCCATTTAAAACTAACATATTGAACATTCTTTTCGATGTTTCAATCAATAAAACATGTCTTACTTATATATCTAACAAT